AAACTGACATTCACCACATATAGATCAAGCTCCATCAAGAACAGTTCTTTCATCAGACACTTTAGATACTCAATTGTTAGCCCTAACCAGACTCACCTTATACAAGTTCTATCCAATCAGGCTGAGTGGAGTTTAAGTAGGAACATTCTGAATCATTATTGTAAGGCTGTCTGGCACAATAAAAGCAAGCAATGCTCCTGATTTTAAAAAAAAAGGCTAGCGATTATCAGCTGTTACTGGTATTCTAGAGGGCAATAATGAGTATCACTGGTACTCATCACACAGGAGAGGTTGTGGCCGGTTAGAAAATCACCTTACGAGTGGGTGGGGTCTTAGTATGGACAAGGGTGAGGGACTGAAAGCACTGTGCATGTGTTTCTGTGAGCATCATAGGAACAAAGGTTGAGCATTTCAACAGTTGCTCATTTGTCATCTTTAGAAAAGAGGCTACAATGTCTCCAAAATGCTGGTAGTTTTGATGCTCAGACCTCAGTAAAGTTTTGAGTCTTTACCTATCAGTGTGCTGCTCATTTTTGTATGTTGGATTCCCTGTATCACTGTTGGCCATGCACCCTCTTGAAGGAATATAAAAAGGTAAGGTGCAGGATGTATTTGTGTTCAAGTGCACATGTGGGTCATGCAAGAAGCGTCAGATGTCTCCATGCTTGTTGTTTTTAGTTAGGTATCAGTTTCAGGATGACCATCCTAATATTTATTTGTAAGTTCTGATGTGACTATCTCAGTGTTAATAGTCTGATGTCCCATCTTTATTTATATACAGTGCTCAGCATAAATAAGTACACCCCAATAGATTTGTCAGAAAACCTTTACTTTCCTTTCAGAATTAATAATTTCTATGGGACACTATACAACAAAATACTCACACAACTGTGGGCCATTGATTGCAAAAAAGATTTGTTAATTTGCAGACACAAAAAATTATTTTTCCTAGCATATTCATTCAAGACCGTGTTGCAAAAATTAATATATCCCAATGAAAGTCTTAGGAGCAAAGCTAAATTCCGATTTAACAAGAATTCAATTATAGGTGAATCTAATTATTCATTAAACAGGTGTCCAGCAGACAGTTGATTATAAAAGGGCCTTACTTAACAAAGAAAACCCCTTCCCATTTCATGCTGTCAGCAATGGCACCCCATGGAAGAGAAATGTCACAAGGCCGGAGAAAGAAAATTAATTCTTTACACAAGAAAGGTGAAGGCTACAAGAAGATCAACAAAGCTTTACTTATCAGTCAGAATACTGTAGCAAAAGTGATACAAAAATTTAAGATGGAAGTGCAACCATCCCACAGAGACATCCAGGCCATCCACAGAAGTTAACACCTTGGCAGGAGCATCTTCTGATGAGAAAGGTTGAAGAAAATTACCATGCAAGTTCACTGCAGTTAGCTAAAGAAGTAAAAAGCCAAACTGGGGTGATTGTTTCCCGTGACACAATACACCATACACTGCAGAGGAATGGCATTCATAGGTGTCGTCCACGAAGGATACCTCTCCTAATGCCCATGCACAAAAAAGGCCCGCCTAGAATTTGCCAGGGTTCATGCTGAAAAAAGAAAAAGACTACTGGGACTCTATATTCTGGAGTGATGAGACCAAGATAAATGTTGTTGGATCTGATGGCTTCAAAACTGTATGGCGTCGCAAAGGTGAGGAGTACAAAGAAAAATGTACGGTGCCTACAGTGAAACATGGTGGCGTTCTTGAATAATGGAAAAAAATAGATGTTGCAATATGTTGCCAACTTGTTCATTCCATGCCTAGAAGACTTGGTGATGTCCTTACAAAACATAGATGTCATACAAAATACTAGATTTTTGTTGTCGGTGTATTCATTTTTGCATCAACTGATTTGAGTAAAACTGAATATTTTGTAATCTAAGTTATTAACCTTACTTTCATGTAATGAGCTAAACAAATGTTCTATAAAACTCAGTTTTGTCAAAATTTTGGAAATTGTTCTTGTGTTCATTGAGATATTGATTAAAATTTTACTTTTCAAAAGGGGGTGTACTCATTTATGGTGAGCACTGTATATTTGTAGGTTCAACTCCTAGAGGCAATCTGTATATAAGAGTGGTATAGTCAGCAGCCCTGCTAAATTAGATCAATTATTCCCAAGGACAGTCTTAAAAAACTGAGAGATTTAAACTGAAAGGAGAACACAAATAAACCACCATCACGCATCACTACCAGCAGGAAGCAGAGCCTGCATATGTGATGACTCAGTACGATGTCCCCATGTACATACAGTATATATATTAACAAAGTATACACAGTAACATAAAAGAAGGCAACATAAGCAGTTACTTCACACTGGTATTTCACACTAATTTGAAATTATTATTGGAGTAATTTTCTTTCAATTGTGCCAAGCTCATATTTGCTATATTTTCCAATACAATCAGAATATACATTGAAAAACCTTACAAAAATTACTGCTTTCCAAAAGATGGCAGTTATATTTTCATGGAATCAATTTTCCATGTTCTAAAGAAGAAAAAAAACCTAAATTGTTCTACTTTACCATACACAGCACTAGTGAAAATAACCAAATATAATTTTTTCTTTTATATAAAAAAAAGTTATATCTTACTGGGATATGAGAAAGCTAGAGAAAAATAAATGACTGGATTGAAAATTGTGCGGGCATCATAAAACACACATTGTTTGGAGTATACCAAATAGATCACATTTGCGTGAAATAAAAAAAATGGTTGAGAAAGACATAAAAAACAAAAGGATTCAAGATGAGAAATTCTTGCCCCCCACCCCAGATCTTCATAAACACATTAGAGGCATAATTTTTACAGGATACATCTGCTGCTGGAGTCTGTTCCGATGGAAATCCACTCAATTTGTCCCATTGCATGTATCTTCAGTGGTGCCTTATTAGTTACTGTGTATAGAACAGTATTATAAAAAAAACAAGGTTTTTGCATGCATAGCAAATACATGGAATTGTAACACGGTAAGTTACAAATTGTGGCACAACCTAAATCATTCTGATACAACTGTACAGCAATCTGACCATTTGTGAAGAGGAAGTGATCACCCCAGGTCAGCACAAGCTGCTGGGATGTTAGCTGGAAAATTCTGTTCATCTCTGCTGATTAAATTTGCCACACACACAAAGGGATGTCATCATTCAGAGCCAAGCAGAAGGACCCACACATAATCTTATGTTCACTTACTACTCTGCTTTTTGACCTCCCCATTAGTGTATATTAGATAGCCCTAGGGCATTTCTATTTATCTCTGCATTATCAGAAGAACAGGAGATTGAAGAATTTCAACCTGGTTGACTGCTTGCAATGCAAGATTCTAGTGTCCTAACTGATATGTTCTAGAATATTCATAGTTGTTCAATACATGAAGCATCAGCTACTTGCATAGTCACAATATCTGTTTGTGATGGTGACCTTAAAGTGAATTTGTCTCTGTGCCTATTCAGGGAAAAGTGATGCTTTCTCATGACAGCCCATCCCCCCTACCACTAAACGTACCTTCCCCATAGTCTCCATTCATGATTTTCATCTGTCAGAGCCCTGAGTCTAATCCCCCTGTAAACTCTGTGACAGTGTTCACTACCACCTTGGTGAAAGAGGAAAGATTATGGTACAGGAGAATAGAGCAGAGGTGCAACAAAGGTGACTACTGGTAGAGGGGATTGTTAATAGGAAAACTAGTAACTTTTCCCTAAAGGGAGAAGTGAGAGATTCAATTTAATCAATCATCAAATGTGAATGGTTTAATAACAAACACTCCAAATTAGGAACTGTCAAGTGCATAATATGACATAAAGGTCTAAGAGTGACAGTGCTAAATCAAACAGTACAAGTCTGTGAATTGGTCCAATCCAGTGCAATCAGTGAGGAAATGTGTGTAGGCAGAAACAAATACCACCTTTATTCCCCTTTGGATATTCCCTCACCTTAATACATAACCTTCATCAGGAGGGCCACATATGTGCACATTTAAAGCACAGATTCCATGTGGGTACCGGTGAAGAGAGTAAATGTTATAAAAAGCATCAATCGTGGAACTCCAACAAAGATGTCTTCAGCAAATGATCCCAAAAGTCAACCCGGCCGGCTCAAGCAAATCACCAAACCCAAATGACTGGGATCAATATTACCATCCATGCTCAAGAAAAACTAACAGGAAACATAGTACTCACTGCTAAATAGTTTTAATCACACTCACTGTAATGAGATGAGAACCGCATGTAAAAATCTTGTAAAGTAGCACTGCTACGCTGGATAGGAGCTGTATGTCTCACTCAGTGGATGAGATCCATCAGCTTGCAGACAGCCTTCTCTCACCACACTTCCTCAAAGTTCCACACAACACGTTTCAAAATCTGACATCATCAGGGGCATGTGATTGTTATTTTAACTACTTATCAAATGTTTAATTTTTGTTTCTTAAGCTTGGACAGTAATATTGATCTGTCATTTGGGTTTGGTGACATGCTTGAGCCTGCCAGGTTGAATTTTTGAGCTAATTTGCTGAAGACATCTGTATTGGAAGTTCCAGGATTGATGTTTTTTTTCAACATTTACTCCATTCACCGGTACCCTCATGGGGATTTGTGCTTTAAATTTGCACAAAATGGACCTCCATGTTCGGGGTCATGTTTTAGTTTGAGGGAATGCTCAAAGGGGAATAAAAGGTGGTGTTTTTTTTTTTTATGTGAACACACATTTACTCACTGATTGCACTAGATTGGACTGATTCACAGACTTGCACTATTTGATTTAGCACTGATACTCTTAGTGGAGATTGTTGATCTCCTTTCAAAAAAGCAAGAATACTTGTTGCTTGCCCGTTATGCTGACCCCCTGGCTTCAATAACTTCTAATTAATTAACTAACCAGAAAGCAGTGTGACTGACTGACAGGCAACCAACATTTGCAGAATGACAAGTCAGCAATGCTAGCCTCCATGTTTCTCCCAGGAAGGGTTCTCTTTATATAGGCTATAAGAAGATTGCCAAGACCCTGAAACTGAGCTGCAGCACAGTGGCCAAGAACATACAGTGGTTTAACAGGACAGGTTCCACTCAGAACAGGCCTCGCCATGGTCGACCAAAGATGTTGAGTGCACATGATCAGCGTCATATCCAGAGGTTGTCTTTGTGAAATAGACAGTGCTGCCAGCATTGCTGCAGAGGTTGAAGAGGGGGGGGGGGGGGGGGTCAGCCTGTCAGTGCTCAGACCATACACCGCACACTGCATCAAATTGGTCTGCATGGCTGTCGCCCTGGAAGGAAGCCTCTTCTAAAGATGATGCACAAGAAAGCCCGCAAACAGTTTGCTCAAGACATGCAGACTGAGGACATGGAACCATGTCCTGTGCTCTGATGAGACCAAGATAAACTGATTTGGTTCAGATGGTGTCGAGCGTGTGTGGCGGCAACCAGGTGAGGAGTACAAAGACAAGTGTGTCTTGGCTACAGTCAGGCATGGTGGTAGGAGTGTCATGGTCTGGGGCTGCATGAGTGCTGACGGCACTGGGAAGCTACAGTTAATTGAGAGAACCATGAATGCCAACATGTACTGTGACATACTGAAGCAGAGCATGATCCCCTCCCTTCGGAGACTGGGTCGCAGGGCAGTATTCCAACATGATAACGACCCCAAACACATCTGCAAGACGACCACTGCCTTGCTAAAGAAGCTGAGGGTAAAGGTGATGGACTGGCCAAGCACGTCTCCAGACCTAAACCCTATTGAGCATCTGTGGGGCATTCTAAAATGGAAGGTGGAGGAGCACAAGGTCTCTAACATCCACCAGCTCTGTGATGTCATCATGGAGGAGTGGAAGAGAACTCCACTGGCAACCTGTGAAGCTCTGGTGAACTCCATGCCCAAGAGGGTTAAGGCAGTGCTGGAAAATAATGGTGGCCACACAAAATATTGACACTTCGGGCCCAATTTGGACATTTTCACTTAGGGATGTACTCACTTTTGTTACCAGCAGTTTAGACATTAATGGTTGTGTGTGGAGTTATTTTGAGGGGACAGCAAATTTACACTGTTTTTTACAAGCTGTACACTCACTACTTTATATTGTAGCAAAGTGTAATTTCTTTGTGTTGTCACATGAAAAGATATAATAAAATATCTACAAAAATGTGAGAGGTGTACTCACTTCTGTGAGATACTGTATATTACAATAACATCAGTCCCTGCCCTCAAGGAGCTTACATTATAAGGTCCCTAGCTCACATTCATACATACACATACATACTAGGGACAATTTAGACAGGATCCAATTAGCTTACCAGCATGTCTTTGGAGTGTGGGAGGAAACCAGAGTACCTGAAGGAAACCCACACAGGCACAGGGAGAACATGCAAACTTCAGGCAGGTAGTGCCATGGTTGGGATTTGAACCTGTGATCCTAGTGCTGCTAGGCGGAAGTGCTAACTACTTAGCCCCTGTGTTTTAAACTTGGCTTTACATTTCTTCAGTTACTTCCTGATTTCGAAGCTTAGGCAAATGATGTCATACATCCCAGGAATCTTCAGAAAGGGAGGAGGGGCTCAGCTAAGCACACCCTACTGCCTGCATGCCTAAGCTAAGGGCAGACGGATTCCAAGAAGTAAATGTTACATGAATAATCTGCCCTTACTCAAGATGGCCTTGACTAGGAATGCTAGGCCAGAGTTTTGCAAATTGATTTCTCAGCAAAATAAACCATAGAGATGTGGATGGACGGGGGGAGTTTGCTTTGAGTATTAAAAACAAATTAAAGCATTTTGGTTTGTGGTGCTCAGATGCAGTGTAGTTCCGCTTTAAGTGCTTTATTGCTGGTTCCTTAAACATAAGATTAAATAGTGTCCTCTAATAAAAGCAGTGAGAAAAACAGCAATAAAACTGCTGCAAAGCTTTCTGCTAGCAGTAATATCTGGGACAAAGCAGATGCTTAGAATCCTTAATTTACCCTGAAGGTGTACTATATATTCTGGCAGGCAAACAGTAGTCTAAAAAAAAGTTTAAACTGTTCCCAGAATTTTTACTCACTTTGTGAAGGTTATTGCAATACAGTGACTTAAATAGTGAAGAAAAGAAAAATCAAACAAGAACATGGAAGACAGACAGAGCCCTAAGGCCTGGTGGTAGCCAACCCCCCAGTAGACACACAGAGGCCTATAGCCGGGTGGCAGCCAACCCCCTTTTCATTGTACTGCAGCTGCCATGAATAAGATTGAGGGGAAACAAGAAATTCAGGTTTACAGACCACAGGCTTTCTGTGCTCTGTTTGGCTGGACCCCCAGGCTCTGCAAGGACATCTGTAACCTGTATTTAACTTCTATGCTACAAAGCCAGTATCTGTATATGCCAGAAGAACAACAGACACAAAGATCATTAAATCCACTCTGAGATCATTAGCTATATAGAGAAGAACATAATATGATCTTAAAAAAATACTTTTTTTTTAATATTTCAGGCATTTAACAATTTACATACATACAATAATAGTTAACAATTTTGTCTTACATACTCTACATTCACATCAGTTTATGCTCTCAAGAAGCTTACAATCTAAAGCTGGCCATCTACAGATCAAAATCCATCTGGTTCAGCAGGACCTGGACAAATTTCGCTCAGTGTGTAGCTGTCCTTGCATGACAGAAGTCAAAGGAACATGTTGGAAATCTTTGCTCGATTAGAAAGCTGCAGTCAATCAACTGCAGCCACTCATCAGTGATTTCTGACAACAGTGGGTGTCCTGGTGGTGGGGAAATGTCTCCATCCACCTCATTTGTGTGGATGGGGGAGTTGCTTAGTTTTTTTTTTCCATCCAGCAATCTGGATGAGTGAAAAAAAAACAACAAATAGTGTAGGGCCAACTCAATTCTCTATCTCACATGCATACATACACACAATAGGGCCAAGTTAGACAGGCGCCAGTTAACCTACCAGCATGTTTTAGGAGTGTGGGAGGAAACCAAAGTACCCAGAAAACCCACACAAGCACAGGGATAACATGAAAACTCCATGCAGATAGTATGCAGATGGTTGAGATTTGATTTAAGGACACAGTGCTGCTGGGCATAAGTGCTAACTGTTAAGTCACCATGAAATACTGAGAATAGTAGTTCAATAATCTTTAATACCAGAGCTTTATTAACCATTTCAATGCCAGGCCCTGTGCTCCACTTTTAAACGCAGTTGGCCAAACTATTTTTGCAATTTTTCTATTGCTTTTCTATTTTTTCCCTTACAACTTTCAGAGTTTGTAAAAGAACCCCCCTCCCAAAACTATATATTTTCTAAAAGCACATGATCAGTAGAATAAAAAGAAAAGTGCTACTGGTTTTAAAGGGCTCGTGATAACTACGCAAATGTTTATCAAATCCTGTATTAAAGTTAAAAACCAACAAATGTTTGTAAAGTTTAAATTGTGCCTTTTTGTGAAATGGTGAAAAATCTATGAGTAACCAAATTTCTCTAAACATCTGGAGGTTTTCATTTTTCACTTACAGCTTTCAGAGATTGTAAAAGACCACCCAAACCATAAATTTTCCAAAATCACATGACGAGTAGAATAAAAAGAAGGTGCTACTGTTTTTTTTAGGCTCCACAGAAGTTGTGTAACGAAAAAAAAGTTTATCAACTTGCAGTTTAAAAAAAAAAAAAAAAACCCACTAAAATCCTTATTAACATGCATAAACGTGACATAAATTCCTGCTAAATTCCTACTAAGGCTCATTCACATGGGGTGTACTAAAGCATATGCCCATGGAGGGCTTTATGAAGGGACGTATTTACCTGTACAGGTGCTCTGTGCATCTCTGTGCAGGCAGTCTCATTCTTGTCAATTGGGATGCAGTGGCTGTAAGGACTGATCTGCCATTTATGGAGGTGTAGGTGCATGGCCCCAAATGCAGACAGTGTGAGTTCAGGGACATGCACCCACGGATGTTAAGTTGGGAGCAGTGGCTGTGTCCATGCAGCCGCTGTGTCCTAATTGACATGAATGGGACTGCCTGTACGGAACACCTGTGCATTCCCCTGCAGCTGCTGTGTCCCAATTCACATAGATGGGACAGCCTGCATGAAGATGCATGGAACACTTGAGCATCACTGTGCAGTTAAACACAGCCTCGTTGTAGTATGCCCCACGTAAAATGAGGCCCAGGCCTTGTTTAGACTTGTGGTTGGGGGGGAGGGGGGGGGACAGCAAAAATCTGCTGTTGAACTGCGTTTCTGCCACCTGCCAACTGTCCCCCCTTAGGCTGCAATAGGCAGCAGATGGGGGCGTTTACATGCTGCGGCTGCAATGCATCACTTTGCACCCACAGCAAAGTTGCTTCGCTTTGCACTCGCCGAACGCTACACATTCAAATCAATGGGGAAGTGCAGCAAATGTCCCCCAACCACATGCAATACACATGCTTGCAGCGCATTTGTCAGCACAAATGGGATTGAAACAGGTGGTGACGAAGCAGTACATCGCTTCCTCAACGCCTGTCAGTACATGCTGTCAGCGTGAATGCGGATTGGATTTCTCAGGCAAGGGAGACTTAGATGTGTGTCTAAGTCTACCCTTAGGCCTCTTCCACACCCTTGTTTAGCAGGGAATCTGTCTGCTGATCCCCGCTGAGCAGGTGGATAGCTGGTCCGTGTCCGCTCCACTTATGCAGAACAGACACAGCCTGCTGTCCTCTATGGGCGGTGGGATGTAAACAGACTGCCTGTTCCTTTACACCTGACTGCCACCTGATCTGCTTTTTGTTTTAAGCAGATGAGATTGGATGGAGATGGGTGAAAACAGGCATAAATCCATTTACATCCGCCACTCCATAAAGGATAATGAAGGGTCCGATTAGGTCCACCAAAAAAACTGACAGGAGGACCCAACTGGTCTGCCCATGTGAAAGGGGTGTTACTATGTTTTTTGCTTTTTTTTAAACAGGCACAATTTTTAAAAAATATATGTTTTACAGATTTCATTTTTTGAAAGTGTGTGCATGGAGGGGGGCTCCTAATTCTAAACAGACCCATAAAGTCTCTGTTTTGAGACAGAGAAAGGGATTGTAGGTGAAAGAGATGGGAGACTCCTATTCATTCACAAACTGAAATATACTAAACAGTTTTTACTATAATTCAGTAATGAATGAACAGATGCAATTGGTAAACACAGCCCCCCCCGCTCTTCATCCTGACACTCACCGATCTCCCGGGCAGCAGCTGCAGCCAGCGGGAGCAAGGAGAACTGGCGGGGCTGTTGGGGATTGGTGAGGAGGGGGGACACTGAAGGGGGCAAAAGTGGCTGGATGCAATTGCTGGCGGGAGAGGCAGCGGTGGGAAGCTGACAAAGGCATCCTGCGACAGAGATCAGTGCTGGTGGAGGGGAAGAGGCTGGTGCTGGGGGTGAGAAAGGTGCTGGGAGGGATCAGTGGCAGAGGAAGGGATCAGTAAGGGGGGTGGGGGCATTTTAGCAGCCAGGGCAGCAGGTTAGGTGGAGGGACAGAACAGTAGGTGGCAG